GTGAGCTCAAAGATATCATGTCCCACATTAGGTGGAAAACGGAGRAAACCGATAAACATTACTTGCACATTTCAAGTCTTAAGCTCAAATTCTCTAGCTGCGATACTGGTTAAGCACCCCTCGGACTCCGAGTCAGTCTCAAAACGCTACCAGGAAGTTAACGAACTTAAGGGTGCACATCTGCTTTAAATAAGCTATTCCTCTTCATATAAATAAAACCACTATTTCCTAAGTTTGCATTATCATTTCTTTCGAGAAAAGGGAGCTGACTAGTCACCCAATTCACCCCCCCTCTATCCGCCCCTGCGTTCTCTTCTTCTTTCCCTTCTCGGCCAAATGTTCATTTTTCGGATCATTTGTCATACTCGGACATTATCAGCCGATATCCCAGGCACCAGAAGGGGTTTATTTATTTTATATCCCATCGAATTAATTTTGTTGTGTTGACGAAGAAAAGCCATAAAGTGCAAGGCAAAATCTACACACGATGTGATTGGTTGACAGTAATTTTTTCGTTATTTCATTGGTTAATCATTGACAAGTGATTGAACAAGGCGGTAAAACTCTCTGCTGAAGTAAGAAGTACAAATTTATTGCTGCGTTTAACGTAAATTATAGTTTTTTTAGACAAAAAAAAAACTTACAAAATGAGTGTCTTTAGTTATTTAGATAACAGCTGAGTTTAGTCGCTATTAAGCATGCTGCAACACAGAACATTTTGAATAATTATTCATTCCACATGGAAAGCAAGACATCTGTTACATAAGGGAGTTCTGTTATCTTTCTTTGCCTGCTTCAAACCCTAGTGAAGGTCTATAATGTGATAATAAAACTGAGACCTTTACTAGTGTTGGGTTGTCTCAATGGTGACGACCGTGTTGTAAATCTTACAGAACACTAGTGTTGTATCTGATTTACAAGGAAGACTTGATTATCAACTGATTAAGTAGACAGCCCTTATTGGAGTAATAGTAATAGTAATAGTTTTGATGCCTGCTTTCTATTGTTGCCACATGTGAACGTGCTTGTCAGTGGAGACCAAATCTGCTACTTTCATCACTAATCTTAAATGTAAATCTAACCTATCAAGGACTTGGTAGAGGGCTAGTGTTATATGATTGGATTACCTGTGTAATACCAAGGACATGCGCAGTAATTACAGTAAAAGGTTGATTCCACGTGCGAATCGTGTTTGGGTCTTTTCTTGACATTTTATCATACTTATTTCGAGATACAACAGCTAGTCAAAAGATCGAAATAAGTTTTCATCGCAAAAATAAAAAAACAATTACTAGGAGCACCGCCATTAAGTTAGCTTCTTGTAGCTATAGAACCTCGAGCGTGCACACTGAACGAGTCTATTGAAAGAAGGTTTAAAAAGGAAGTCAATCAATTAAAAACGCAAAATATATTTAAAAGACGCTGCAATTAATTACTTCTCTGATGTAATGATTTATTTTTCACAGTCGGTCGTTGTATTGTATGCAAAGCCCCATTACTCTTGCTATGACATTATAACTAAAATTACGTCTCTTCATGAATTCCAGTTTTTTATGAGACTTTTATGAGGAAATCCATTTCCATGCTATTACGTCATTACCCACGCAGTACATCAAATGCCTCAAACAAATACGCCTTTTTCCCGTTCAAAGCGAGCAACCGCTGCTTTAGTTGACAACAGTCTCTCATGCGCAGAGACCTTACCAAAAACAAAAGAAAACACGAAAAAATGTTGTCATAACAATAGCCCTATAAATTTGCATTTTCTCCAATTCTGTATTCCCAGAAGGTTCAAAGTCTTTCTCAGGCTAAGCCTCAAATCGGTGAAGATTCAAATTTCTAGAGCAATTGTTGTGTCAACATTTTTTCGTGCTTTCTTTTGTTCTCTTCACGAGTGAGTCTGTTGTGTTAGGCAGTTCAGATGATCTTGCCCTCCATAGAGTACGACAGTATATAATTCAACAATGGAGTCTTCTAATCTCAGTAACATTTCTCAATTCAACTCACAACATACTCCTTTCAGTATTTGCRACTCCMTWGGAGAATTCAAAAATCCACAGTTGGCAACGCCTGCCTCTCTCAAAGCTTCCCTCGCAGCTGTAATAACGACTGGAGCCGCTTGTCCTTTTGCTGTTGTTCTCAACTCTTTGGTGCTTTTAGCATTCTATAAGAAACCATCTCTAAGAACCCAAAGCAATGCCATGATTGGTRTTATGGCAGCAAACGATCTGGTCAAAGCTGGAATTGGTGGCGCGTTTTTCATTTCGAAGGAAATCAATTACCAAACAGAAAACGACCCGAAATGTCCTGTTTTGGTAGGACTTTTCTTAAGTTCAACGATGGCATCCGACATCATAGTTACCTGTATGAACTTAGAGAAATTGCTCGCTCTTCGATTCCCTTATTGGCACCGCGTTCACGTCACAGCAAGGCGTATATTGACCACTGCACTCGTGTCCATCTKTGCAGTTTTTCTTGCCTCCGTTATCCGTGTGTTTGACGAAGCAGCGAGGTTTTTTGTGGTGGTGCCGTTTGCAATATGCTGTTTGTTAACCTTCATCTTTGCGATTTCCATCTGGAAAGTGATTTCACAGCGTAATCGTCAAATTCACGTTGAAAGTGAACAAACAAACGYACCAATATTTACCAGTTCAGAGCGTAAGGCTGCCAAAATGGCGACGTACATTGCCGGGAGTCTTCTCTTCACAAGGTTAATCCCGTTATTACTGCTCACTACGGTGATAAGGAACAGTGATTCAAAGATCATTGCAGAACCCTTGCTTCAGGCATTGTTCCTTTTGAGCGGTTTAATAAACCCGCTTATTTATGGCTTCATGAACAAAGATATCAGAAAAGCCTGTCATGAGATCGTCAAGTCTTCAAATGTTACAATTATGCAAGTTCAACCATAATTTGATATRAATTGTGGGCACATGATTAAAGTTATATCTAACAAGTTTCTTTCTTGGTCATTAAATGCAAATTGGCCGGAGATTTAGTCTTTTAGTCTATACTTTCATTTCTGTTTATAATGAATGTAATTTTCCCTCAGAAATTGTAAAAAATGCCAACTTGTTCACATATTTTACAAAAATGTGAACAAGTTGGCATTTTTTACAATTTCTGTAAAATTATCTATAGGAGTTTACTTATCATGTTTTCAATATTTTTCTTAAATTTTGATAAACATCCTCAAATATTTTGGCAGATTTTTACAGTCAATGACGTCATCGACTTATCCGTATTTTTTTCTTTTTTTTTTCTTTTTTTTTGTAATAAAACTCTTTCTGGTTCTCTCGAATGGGGCTTTGAGCATGATATTCAATTAAGTGTTTTGTTTGGTGGTATCAAACAGTGTAGTTTATAGCAAAGGCGGATACTAACTAATCAAACAAACTATTAGGAAGACTAGAAATGATCTCTTGACGCTCTCTCATTAATCCCGAAAATGAGGGTCACGTGACCTGTGATTTTTCGCAATATTTGTTAAAATTGCGGTTAGGGYTAACAYATACTTAGGGTTAGGACTGTTTTCTTAGGCTTAGGGTTAAGATTTGGCTTAGGGTTAGCCTTGTGCTAGGTCTACATGGGGGCTTCGGGATAGGGTTTTGACCTAGAGCTAGTCACGTGACCGGCCTTCTCCAGCAGATTCAAACTCCATAGATGAGATCTGCACACAACATCGACCATGCTCAACTACTTCAAGTTCTTTGGCTATGCTTAAACATGAAGATGACCACCCCTCATACTTTCACTTTGGTGCGTTTTGTAAAAAAGACCCTAACGGCTAGGTTTCAAGACAACCAACCCCATATCTCTCGACTGCCTTCATAGTTTTGTCTTAAACTTTGGGAAAGTAATCAAACTTGTTGTAAACACTGGTCCACGAAAGATTGAAACCAAATAGCCAACAAATTGTGAAAAATTATTTTTTGCTTAAGAGATTTTGAGTAATTTGCAATAGTACAAACACTCGGAGTACAAGTGCTAAATTGCGGTCAGGAATGATTTCATTCATCAATTCATTTTAAAGCAACTATCATCACAGACCCTCGTTGAGACGACGGAGTCGTCATAATATTTTTGAGACGNAGGGACTTCTCCCGGAATTGCCTCCTTCTAAGCACTATAACTTTCTTTCATTTCTATATCGTGTTTATCATAGTGCCATGCGGTCTTCATATTCATATCTTTACATTATTCTATTACCGCAACCTTAACATCTATTTCACCCCGACCTGCTCCCAGTCTGGCCTTGTAGCTCAGCTGGTAGAGCATCGGTGTACAAATCCGAAGGTCGTGGGTTCGAATCCCAGCGAGGTCGGAAATTAATTTTTCCGAATTTATTCCTAAGGGACTTCTCCCGGAATTGCCTCCTTCTAAGCACTATAACTTTCTTTCATTTCTATATCATGTTTATCATAGTGCCATGCGGTCTTCATATTCATATCTTTACATTATTCTATTACCGCAACCTTAACATCTATTTCACCCCGACCTGCTCCCAGTCTGGCCTTGTAGCTCAGCTGGTAGAGCATCGGTGTACAAATCCGAAGGTCGTGGGTTCGAATCCCAGCGAGGTCGGAAATTAATTTTTCCGAATTTATTCCTAAGGGACTTCTCCCGGAATTGCCTCCTTCTAAGCACTATAACTTTCTTTCATTTCTATATCGTGTTTATCATAGTGCCATGCGGTCTTCATATTCATATCTTTACATTATTCTATTACCGCAACCTTAACATCTATTTCACCCCGACCTGCTCCCAGTCTGGCCTTGTAGCTCAGCTGGTAGAGCATCGGTGTACAAATCCGAAGGTCGTGGGTTCGAATCCCAGCGAGGTCGGAAATTAATTTTTCCGAATTTATTCCTAAGGGACTTCTCCCGGAATTGCCTCCTTCTAAGCACTATAACTTTCTTTCATTTCTATATCATGTTTATCATAGTGCCATGCGGTCTTCATATTCATATCTTTACATTATTCTATTACCGCAACCTTAACATCTATTTCACCCCGACCTGCTCCCAGTCTGGCCTTGTAGCTCAGCTGGTAGAGCATCGGTGTACAAATCCGAAGGTCGTGGGTTCGAATCCCAGCGAGGTCGGAAATTAATTTTTCCGAATTTATTCCTAAGGGACTTCTCCCGGAATTGCCTCCTTCTAAGCACTATAACTTTCTTTCATTTCTATATCGTGTTTATCATAGTGCCATGCGGTCTTCATATTCATATCTTTACATTATTCTATTACCGCAACCTTAACATCTATTTCACCCCGACCTGCTCCCAGTCTGGCCTTGTAGCTCAGCTGGTAGAGCATCGGTGTACAAATCCGAAGGTCGTGGGTTCGAATCCCAGCGAGGTCGGAAATTAATTTTTCCGAATTTATTCCTAAGGGACTTCTCCCGGAATTGCCTCCTTCTAAGCACTATAACTTTCTTTCATTTCTATATCATGTTTATCATAGTGCCATGCGGTCTTCATATTCATATCTTTACATTATTCTATTACCGCAACCTTAACATCTATTTCACCCCGACCTGCTCCCAGTCTGGCCTTGTAGCTCAGCTGGTAGAGCATCGGTGTACAAATCCGAAGGTCGTGGGTTCGAATCCCAGCGAGGTCGGAAATTAATTTTTCCGAATTTATTCCTAAGGGACTTCTCCCGGAATTGCCTCCTTCTAAGCACTATAACTTTCTTTCATTTCTATATCGTGTTTATCATAGTGCCATGCGGTCTTCATATTCATATCTTTACATTATTCTATTACCGCAACCTTAACATCTATTTCACCCCGACCTGCTCCCAGTCTGGCCTTGTAGCTCAGCTGGTAGAGCATCGGTGTACAAATCCGAAGGTCGTGGGTTCGAATCCCAGCGAGGTCGGAAATTAATTTTTCCGAATTTATTCCTAAGGGACTTCTCCCGGAATTGCCTCCTTCTAAGCACTATAACTTTCTTTCATTTCTATATCGTGTACATCAAATTTACATCATTTTGGACACTTACATCATATTTACATCAAATTTACAACCTTTATGGCGCGCGATTTTTCCAGTGATAGCTTGAATTATTACAACAACACTCTCTCTTCGAAGGATTTCCAGTAAACCAAAACAACTCTTTTCAGCAAAGTTTAAGCGGCATCAAAGCTTTATTCACAGTCGTGGATGTTTCAAAGTCTTGCGTTATTGTTACAATCGCGCTAAAAGCAGATATTGTTTGACTATAATTTTGTTCCTACCAAGCACAGCTTGTTCGACGTCTTCTACGCATTAACACTAGAAGTGTAGGCTAACATTGTTTATATGTGTTATTCCTAAGTAAGAGTTAGTTACCGAGAACGGAGGCATTACGCTATATACAGCCCGAGGGCCGCAGGCCTGAGGGCTGTATATAGCGTAATGCCGACGTGCGAGGTAACTAACAAACTTAGTTTTCAATTCACGTGGTTTTCGCAAAAACTGAATAGACTCAATGAATGTTTTCTTAGTTGGGTTTCGAACAATAGAATCCTCTTCTCTTGAGACTTTTTCATGGACTGTTGAAATTAGTTTCCTTTAAGAAAACCTGTTCATGCGAAAGCGAGCAATCGAAATTTGAATATTGTTATCAAATATTCTTAACAGTCATTCTGGAAACGATGTCGAACAGTGACGACGATTTGTTTATAGCTCAAAATACGTTTGACATCATTCCTTTGACGAACTTTGATATTGACGATTTGCTATCGGATTTGGAACTCCGCATGCTTCTTCCCGCAAATAACGATGACAAAGTCTGCAGATGGGAAAAAATGAGAAAAATTACAATAGTTTTTGATGTTGAACTCGCTCGAAAAAATACGAGGGAAGGATTCAAGAAG